TTAAGCATTTAAATGCTTAGTGTTATTAAGTACTGTGCAAGACACTAGGAATATAAAGATGAAGAAACCTCTTACTCGAAGTGTTTATAGTATAGTTTAAGAAGAGAGGGAGACATAAATAACGGCAATGGAGCTGTTACGGATCCTGTGATAAAAGTCTGTGTGGGGGTCAGTGTAGTATAGAGAGAAGAGAAGGGCTAATTCTTTTTTTTTTTTTTCAGTAATTTTTTGAAGAGAGAAAGAAAGATGTACCACCAATAAGGTTTTCATATTGCAGCCTACCCCTGACCTTAGCCAGCCTGAATCATAGACGCACACATGTGCACCTGGCTTGAGCAGAGACCTAGGATCTCTAACCCAGGATCTTCCCATCTGGCCTCAGCATCACAGAGAGTGGCTTCACTGCTGCACCACTGTAGCTGGTCTAGGCATGGCTAACCCTATGAATATTTAGGGTGGGTTGTTGGAAAGGAGGTGCTGAGAAAGGTTTGGCATTGTGAGTAAATATTAGGCAGATTGTGTTGTAGAAGGGTGAATGACCAGGAGCTTTCAGGACTAAAGGAGCAGGAGTCATTTATCATTTTGTCATGTTACTTGTGCAAATCTTATATTGTTTTTATTGATACATTTTATTTCCTAAACTGCTCAGGGACAAGAACTATGTGTTGTGCATTTCGTATATTTACATAGCATTTCTTTCTTGCTACTTGGGTTCACTAATTATAGTAAGAGGGAAGTATTTTTAGGTCCTGATACAAAGCAGGATATAAAAAAGGAGAGAAAGAGAAAAACATTTTTCTAGCTTGCAAAATGTCAAAAAATGCATAGAACTTCTATTTTAATATGAAATATTTTTTAGGGTAGTAATGTTAAAGAAAAGGATCTTTATAAAAGTGCTTTTTTAGTGAACATTCTTTAAATTGCCTTTTTTTCTTTTAGAAATACTTCACATAAACTCTTATTCAGCTAAAGAGATTATTTGTTAATATCAGCCTTTAATACAACTTTCTTTTTTTTGACAGAATATGGAATCGAAAAAGTTAAGTTCACCTGTGATTGAGACACTCCCTACAGTTGATTTACATGAAGATTCTTCCAATGTAGTTG